GGATGTCATATAGAACAATATATTTTGATGCTCTCTCTCTCTCTCTCTCTCTCAACAGGGCGCCAATACCCCCCTCACTACGCCAAAACTCCTCCATTCATCGCCAAAATATCTCCGCCAACTGTTGCTATATTATTCATCCGAGTTACAATGTCGGTGTGGTGAAGGGTCTCTCTCTCTCTCTCTCTCTCTCTCTCTGTGTCTGTCTAATGGAATTTACAGATAGATAGATAGATTGATAGATAATAGATATATAGATATAGATAAAACACACACACACAGACACTCACACACACACACACACACCCACAGTATCATTGACTTTCTTAAACTAATTAAATAAGAAATGAAATATAAGCCGATAGTTGTTGTTGTTGTTAATGGTGGTAGAGGTGGTAGTGGTGGTGGTAGAGGTGGTAGTGGTGGTGGTAGAGGTGGCGGTGGTGGTGGTAGAGGTGGTAGTGGTGGTGGTGTGTAATGGTGATAGTGGTGGTAATGGTTGTGTTATTGTTGTTGTGGTAATTACATAAGAAGTGGAAAGAAGGAAGGAGAGAGAGAGAGAGAGAGAGAGAGAGAGAGAGAGAGAGAGAGAGAGAGAGAGAGAGAGAGAGAGAGAGAGAGAGAGGGGGATGGAAGAGACAGATATAGAAATTACCCACAGGCATTTCAGAACACTCACACACACACACACACACACACACACACTCACACACACGTGGCGGAGTATAAACAGAAGCAAACATTCAGCAGCTGTTTCCTGTCAAAGCTAAAAGTTTAGAGAGGCAATCCAAGTTATCTAGCTGGGAAGAAGGCCAGGCATGTGTGTGTGTGTGTGTGTGTGTGTGTGTTTGTGTGTGTGTGTGTGTGTGTGTGTAATCTCACCTAACCTACTCTAACCTAACATAACCAAATCTAACCAAATCTAACGAAAACTAACCTAACGCAATCTACCCCTCCACCCCTACCATCCACCACCACCAGACACTACACCATCACCACCACTACCACCACCTCCCCCTACCTCCCCCACACCCCTACCACAACCATCACCACCACCCCACCACCCCCACCCTACCACCACTACCACACCACACCACCACACCACACTTCCACACCAAACCACACTACACCATCACCACCACACTACTACCACCACCACCACACACTACCACCATCACCACCACACTACCACCACCTCCCCCTACCTCCCCACACCCTACCACAACCATCACCACCACACCACACTACCATACCACACTTCCACACCAAACCACACCACACCACACTACTACCACCACCACACCACACTACCCCATCGGAAATCCTGCGACCCATTCCCTACGTGTTCACCACAACGCCAGACACGTCAGCTATTTCCTCAATGTGCCTCGTTAAGTGTTTGTTTATATATATGTAAGGTCTCTCACTATCTCTATTACAACCCCTTAATACAACGCCTTATTATAACCAGTAACACAACCCTTATTACAACCCCTTAATACAACCAGAACACAACCCCTAATACAATTAATACAATATCTTTAATACAACCCCTTAATACAACCAGTAACACAACCCTCTAATACAATTAATACAATATCTTTAATACAACCAGTAACACAACCCTCTAATACAATTAATACAATATCTTTAATACAACCCTTAATACAACCCGTAACACAACCCTCTAATACAATTAATACAATATCTTTAATACAACCCCTTAATACAACCAGTAACACAACCCTCTAATACAATTAATACAATAATCTTTAATACAACCCTTAATACAACCCGTAACACAACCCTCTAATACAATTAATACAATATCTTTAATACAACCCTTATACAACCAGTAACACAACCTCTAATACAATTAATACAATATCTTTAATACAACCCTTTACAACCAGTAACACAACCCTCTAATACAATTAATACAATATCTTTAATACAACCCCTTAATACAACCAGTAACACAACCCTCTAATACAATTATACAATATCTTTAATACAACCCTTAATACAACCAGTAACACAACCCTCTATACAATTAATACAATATCTTTAATACAACCCCTTAATACAACCAGTAACACAACAATATACATCTTTAATACAACCCCTTAATACAACCAGTAACACAACCCTCTACAATTAATACAATATCTTTAATACAACCCTTAATACAACCAGTAACAACCTCTAATACAATTAATACAATATCTTTAATACAACCCCTTAATACAACCAGTAACACAACCCTCTAATACAATTAATACAATATCTTTAATACAACCCCTTAATACAACCAGTACTAACCCTCTAATACAATTAATACAATATCTTTAATACAACCCCTTAATACAACCCGTAACACAACCCTTTAATACAACCCGTAAGACAACCCCTTAATACAACCCCTCAACAACCCCTTGAAACCATCACTAAAGACTGACCATTAGCACAGACCACTATGTCCCATTATAAAATGTAAACAAAATTATCTCCATTTTCCCGCATCTGTTTGTAACTTTTGTCTGACAGCGTAGAAAGGGTCGACCCCGTCTTGTTGTGCTCCAGGTTAGGTTAGGTTTTGGTTTGGTTAGGTTAGGTTTGGTTAGGTTTGGTTTGGTTTGGTAAGGTTTGGTTTGGTTTGGTTGGGAGTTAGGTTTGGTTTGGTTTGGTTTGGTTTGGTTTGGTAAGGTTGGTTTGGTTAGGTTTGGTAAGGTTAGGTTGGGTTAGGTTTGGTTTGGTTAGGTTTGGTTAGGTTTGGTTTGGTTAGGTTTTGTTTTAGTTAGGGGTTGGGTTAGGTTTGGTTGGTTAGGTTGGGTTTGGTTAGGTTTGGTTAGGTTTGGTTTGGTTTGGTTTGGTTTGGTTTGGTTAGGTTTGGTTAGATTTGGTTGATTACGTTAGGTTAGGTTGTGTTTCTACGTATAGGGAAAAAACTAAACCTCCTAAATTCAAAATGGCGTCAGACTATCACAGAGACTTTATGCTACACAAGAAGGTAAAATTCCCAACCATTATGGCGTCAGATAAGAGCTGAGACTCGACCTTAACTAAAGCTCCTGTTAAAGTTAGAGATAACGGGAGGTAGAAGTCTGAATGTTGTTTTTTCTGTTGTATACTGTTGTCAAGTGAGAGATGAGGGGTGAGAGGTGACGGGGTGTGGGGGTGAGGTGAGTGAGGGTGAGGGAGGTGGAGAGGGAGAGAAGGTGAGTGAAAGGAGAGGGAGGAGTGGGGGGAGGGAGGAGTGAGGAGGGTGGGAAGGGGGGAGGGTGAGGTGGTGGGTGAGGAGAGAAGTGGGTGAAGGGGGGTCAGTGGGAGGGGGGGGCGGCAGAGGTAACAGAGTTGTAATTTAAATCTTTTGAATTTGTTGACTGTGATGTGTGTGTGGTAAAAGGAGAGAGAGAGAGAGAGAGAGAGAGAGAGAGAGAGAGAGAGAGAGAGCACGTGCGCCAGAGGAGTGTTAAGATAATTGACTAACAAATAGATGAATTTAGAAGCCGTCGTCACAGGGGCGCGTCTGCCTCAAGCTACCATGTATACTTTAATACATACACGATATACAAACATTGATACAGGATATACACATACATTCAGGATATACCTACACGATATACATACATACAGGATACACACACATGCACTCAGAATACACAGTTACATACAGGATATACATATACACAAACACGATATACATACAGGATATACATACTTCATACAATACCTATACATACATATATAAATCAAAATCTACATATAAATAGTCATAATAATACATAGAAATATACACATAGAAATATACATATACTTACCGATATACATATATAAAAAAGACAAAAATATACACGTTTTTGTTATTTCTTGAGTACAAAAGAAATCTGAGGCTAAATCTAATCTGAAATCTAGCGTTCTGATGTGGTGGGGTGGGTGGGTGGGTGGGTGGGATGGGTAGGAGTGAGGAGGGGTAAGGGTAGAGGGTAGAGGGGAGGGTAGAGGGAGGTAGAGGAGGAAGTTCAACATCCGGTAGGACAGTGAACATCTCATCTTAGTGTCAGAGATCTTAGGTCAAGGACAGTGAGTGCCAACTTCTCTCACTGTAGGTCTGGGGTCCTTTGGGTCTGGGGTCTGTGGGTCTGGGGTCTGTGGGTCTGGGGTCTCTTAGGTCTGGGGTCTGTGGGTCTGGGGTCTATTAGGTCTGGGGTCTGTTAGGTCTGGGGTCTATTGGGTCTGGGGTCTATTGGGTCTGGGGTCTATTGGGTCTGGGGTCTGTGGGTCTGGGGTATTGGGTCTGGGGTCTATTAGGTCTGGGGGTCTATTAGGTCTGGGGTCTATTGGGTCTGGGGTCTATGGGTCTGGGGTCTATGGATCCGGGGTCTATGGGTCTAGGGTCTGTGGGTCAGGGTCTTAGGTCTGGGGTCTATGGGTCTGGGGTCTATTAGGTCTGGGTCTATTGGGTCTGGGGTCTGTTAGGTCTGGAGTCTACTGGGACTGGAGTCTACTGGGACTGGGGTCTATTAGGTCTGGGGTCCATTGGGTCTGGGGTCTATTGGGTCTGGGGTCTATTGGGTCTGGGGTCTGTAGGTCTGGGGTCTGTGGGTCTGGGGTCTATTGGGTCTGGGGTCTATTGGGTCTGGTCTGTTAGGTCTGGAGTCTACTGGGACTGGGGTCTTGGGACTGGTGGGGTCTGGGGTCTACTGGGTCTGGGGTCTTGGGTCTGGGGTCTATTGGGTCTGGGGTCTATTGGGTCCAGGGGTCTGTTAGGTTGGGGTCTACTGGGGTCTATTGGGACTGAGGCCTATTTGGTCTGGGGTCTATGAGTAGTAATGATTCGTATAAATAAAATCCATTTTCACACACACACACACACAGTACACACACACACACACACACAGTCACACACACACACACACACAGTCACACACACACACACAATACATACACACACACAAACACACACACACTCTCTCACACCTCCACTCTCTCTCTCTCACCTCTAGGTAGGAACCCAGCAGAGATGAGCGTGGCGTCCATGATGGTCCCGCAGCAGTAAGCAGAAGGCGGCCACCAGGTGTAGGAACGGCGCTGTAGGAACCCCGTGTAGCCACAAATTCCTGTAGGAGGGACAGACGAAGGACTCTGTCAGCTCAGGGAGGAGGAACTTAATATATCAACTTAGTGAGTTATTTATGGCAATTAAGAGAGAGAGAGAGAGAGAGAGAGAGAGAGAGAGAGAGAGAGAGAGAGAGAGAGAGAGAGAGAGAGAGAGAGAGAGAGAGAGAGACAGACAGACAGACACTCACCTCACTATACCCGGCGCCACAGACAAGACAGGAGGTGGGTCTCGTGTACAGGTAGACAGACTTGCCCCTAACTTGAAGCCATCATTGCCCAAATTGCCCACTTTGACCGCTGACGTCACCAGGAAAAAGGGCAAGACGACCACGGACGCTCCTACTAAGCCCACGTACGCGTTCAGTTCGACGTACGGCTGTTCATCTGTACGTGGTAAAGGTGTACATGGGATAGAGTATGTACGTGTGTTGTGTGTATGGAGTATCTATCTATCTATTTATGCATCTGTCTATCTATCTATCTATCTCTTTCTCGCTGTCTCATTCTATCTCTACCTCTCTTACTACCTGTATGTCTATCTCATTATCTTCATCTCTCATTACCTCACTATCTTTCCTATCTCTCTCATTACCTCACTATCCTCCCTCTCTCTCTCTCTCATTACCTCACTATCTTTCTCTCTCTCTCTCTCTAATACCTCCACTATCCTCCCTCTCTCTCTCTCTCTCTCTCTCATTGCCTCACTATCTTTCCTATCTCTCTCATTACCTCACTATCCTTCCTCCCTCTCTCTCTCTCTCTCTCTCTCTCATTACCTCACTATCTTTCCTCTCTCTCTCTCACTATCTCTCACCTTGGGGCCAGGGAAGCGAAGCATACATGAGGAATCTCTTTATCCCAGCGAACACCAAATACCCAGTGAATCCAAGTGTGACCAGGCAATACCATATCGACCACACGCTGTTTAAATGGTGAGAACAGCATTGCCTCTTGTGCTGTTTTTGTTGTTGCTGTTTATTCCCCGTTGTGCTGTTACTGTTGCCGTTACCGTTGCTGTGGGTGGATGGTAGGCGTTTAATTCTAGCCGAAGTCGATGTCACGTTGGAGTGTTCGGACGACGCGGCGGCCATGTTTGCTCGTGACATTCTTGTTTAGGTTCTAAATAAATAAATAATATCGATTAATTTCCCACAAATAATAAAATCAATCATAAAATCAATAATAAATAAAAATAAACACAAAATTTAGTTTATTAAAAGTTATAAATGGATATATTAAAAGAAAATAATAAATAATTCCTTTCCCACAAACAGACACTTCCGCCCACACACAAAAATTAAAATAAAATAAAGATATTAATAAAATCGTATTGAGGTCTTCCACTCTCTCTCTCTCTCTCCTCCATCGTTAAATTTATGTAAACACAATTCCCATCCGCCAAAGTTTTAACAAGATTGATAAAATTGTATCCATGAATAACAACAGAAAAATGCTAACTTAACGCACAAAATTATTGATATATTTATGACGTTACTGTAATATTGTTGTATTATTTATAAATTTTATGTATTAACGTTATTTACTTTATATGTGACATCTCTTATAGAAAACGGATTGTCTCATAGAAAACGGGGTGCGGGCCACAAAAACATCATATGGCCAAGTGATTCAATTCCCTTCAGAGGACGGAAAAATTTATATGAATATTCAAGAATGATGGCAACACCCCCCCCCTCTCTCTCACCCCTTCTCTCTCTCTCTTCTCTGTCCTGTCTATCTCTCTCTCTCTCTGTTCTTGCATCTCTCACTCTCTGCCTCTATCTCTCTCTCTCTCTCTCTCTCACGTCACAACACTGATGGTTTTCGATTCCTTTCAGAAAATTGAGACTTTCGATAGCAGGGGGAGGGGTAGGGAGGGAGGAGGGAGGGGGTAGGGAGGGAGGAGGTAACGAAGGAGAGGGAAGGAAAAGGACAAGATTGAGGGGAGAGGAGGAGGAAGAATAGAAGAAAGTAACAGAAGAGGAAGAAGACAAGGAGGAGGAGGGAAGGAAGGGAGGAGGAAGAGAAGGGGAAGAGAGGAAGAGAAGGAGATGGAGACGAAAAGAGAGAAGGAGGAGGTAGAGGACCGGGGGGAGAGGGAAAGGCAACACGTCCATTGTTATAACTGTCCTTCCATTTTCCTTCCCACCTCCCTTCCCTCTCCCCTACACCTCCTCTCTCCCCATACTCTACTCCTTCTTCCTCCCCTCTCCTTTCTCTCCCCCCCTCCTACAAATCACCCTCATTCATTCCCTCTCTATACCCCACTCCCTCCCTCTCTCTCCCCAACACCCCCCCTCCCTCCCTCTCTCCCAAACACCCTTCCCCTCCCTCCCTCTCTCTCCCCAACACCCTCCCCACTCCCTCCCTCTCTCTCCCCAACACCCCTCGCCCCTCCCTCCTTTTCATTCAGACGTAAATAAAATTCAAAGAAAATATTTGCTATAGATAGACAGATAGATAGAGACAGACAGACAGATAGACAGATAGACAGAAAGGGAGGGAGAGAGAGAGAGAGAGAGAGAGAGAGAGAGAGAGAGAGAGATAGGGAGAGAAACAAGACCAGGTAGACCACAATAAAGCCAAGCCACATCCGGCTGAGGTGTCCTGGGGGGGAGGAGGATAATTTGGGCAGGATATAGTGAAGGTTGTCAGCCCAGCGAGAGATCCTTAAGTGTCTTTCAGGATCTCTCTCTCTCTCTCTCTCTCTCTCTGTCTGTATCTATCTGTTTGTTTGTCTGTCAATCTATCTGTCTGTCTGTCTCTACATATCGTCTGTCTCTACATATCGTCTGTCTCTCTCTCTCTATATCCAATTGGTTAGAGAGAGAGAGAGAGAGAGAGAGAGAGAGAGAGAGAGAGAGAGGTGACCTTACCACATCCGTTTTCCCACAAGTAGCAACAGGAGGATCTTCTCTGTCTGTCTGTCTGTCTGTTTTTGCTTCTGTATGTCAGTCTGTATGGCTTTCTGTCTGTTTATCTGTCACTCTCTCTCTCTCTCTCTCACTGTCTCTATTTCTGTCTCTCTCTCTAGACTTGATCAAGACAATCACAGCTCCCTCCCATCATCCAATCTACCACCACTACCACCATCCACCAACACGGGCACACCCACCAACCAACCCACACACATGCTACCACCATTACATCCTTCTACCACCACTACTACCACCACTACCACTACTACTACAACTACTACCACCACCACTACTACTACCACCACTACCAAACACATCTATCACTACCACTATCACCACCACAACTACTAACACCATTACATCCTTCTACCACCACCAACACCACTACTAACATTACCACCACCACCACCACTAGCACTACCAACACCATCTACCACCACTACCACCATCCCAGTAGCCAATCAACCTGTGTACGTGTTTTCCGCTCATCATTATTTCTACCTGTCCTCCTCCTCCCCCCCCTCCCTCCCTCTCCCACGCCTCACCTCTCCTTCCCCTCTCCCACGCTCCCTCACCCTGGTTCTCCCACCCTCTCTTCCTCCCTCATTCTCCCTTTCACACACACACTCTCTCTCTCTCTCTCAATTATCCACCCATCAACTCACCCACCACCACCACCACTACCCACCCACCACACCACCACCTACCACTACCCACCCACCCCACCCACCACCCCACCACTACCCCACCATCAACCAACCCACCCACCCACCCACCCACCCACCCACAGCCTAGGACAGCGGAAGTCACAAAGACGAAAGAGTTCATCACAAGGTTAAGGCCAGACGTGTGTGTGTGTGTGTGTGTGTGTGTGTGTGTGTGTGTGTGTGTGTGTGTGTGTGTGTGTGTGTGTGTTCTGCGTGTATAGTAATAATAATAATAAATATAGTAAAACCTTTATTTAACGAAGTATATAGAGATGAAAGTCCGTTATATCGAGGTGTCCGTTATATATGAAACCCCCATGTAACGGGTTATATGGAGAGAGAAGTCCATTATATAGAGGTTTCATTCTCGTAACAAAAACAAAAATAACAACAACAACAACAACAATACTCACAATACCAACAACAACAGCAATAATAATAATAGTAATAATAATAATAATAATAATAATAATAATAATAATAATAACAACAACAACAAAAACAACAACAATACTAAGAACAATAACAACAACATCTACAAACAAACACAGAGCTACATACACAAATAAACAAACAAATCAATAACAAAAGTCAGATTCCCACTAATAAAAGCGTCCCGTAATATTAACAAACAATGAATATTTTATCTCGCTAATTAACTCTGTAAATTAACTTCCCCCAAATTGTTACATTTCTCTCCAGTGTTAAAACCTAATCCATTGGTGTAGAGGATTAGTGGGAATAATGGTTTACTGGTACCTTGGGGAGAGCTTTTTGCCGCCATAACAAGCCAGGTGGATATGGGTGGGGAGAGGTGGGGAGGGGGAAGGGATGGTAGGTAGGTAGGGAGGGAGGGGAGGAAGGGATGGAGGGAGGTAGGAGTAGGGAGGAGGGGCAAGTAGGTGGGAGGAAGGTAGGTGGTAGGAAGGTAGAGGGAGGTGGTAGGTACAAGGTAGGTAGGTAGGTAGGTAGGTACTAGGTAGGTAGGTAGGGAGGTACTAGGTACTAGGTAGGGGTAGGTAGGTAGGTAGGTACTAGGTAGTAGGTGGTAGGTAGGTAGGTACTAGGTAGGGAGGTAGGTAGGTAAGTAGGTACTAGGTAGGTAGGTAGGGAGGGAGTAGGCAGGTAGGTAAGTGGGTCATAGGTAAGGTGGGTAGGGGGTAGGCAGGTAGGTACTAGGTAGGTAGGTGGGGTGAGGCAGGTAGGTAGGTAGGTAGGTAGGTAGGTAGTGGTACTAGGTAGGTAGGTGGGGTAGGCAGGTAGGTAGGTGGGTACTAGGTAGGTAGGTGGGGGTAGGCAGGTAGGTAGGTAGGTAGGTGGGTGCCTAGGTAGGTAGGTAGGTAGGTAGGTACTAGGTGGGTGGGTAGGGGTAGGCAGGTAGGTAGGTACCAGGTGGGTAGGTAGGTGGGGAGGTAGGCGGGTAGGTGGGTAGGTACTAGGTAGGTAGGTAGGGTAGGCAGGTAGGTAGGTAGGTAGGTAGGTACTAGGTAGGTGGGTAGGGGTAGGCAGGTAGGTAGGTAGGTACTAGGAGGTAGGTAGGGAGGTAGGCAGGTAGGTGGGTAGGTACTAGGTAGGTGGGTAGGGTAGGCAGGTAGGTAGGTAGGTACTAGGTGGTAGGTAGGGGTAGGGAGGTAGGCAGGTAGGTAGGTAGGGCACTAGGTAGGTAGGTGGGAGGTACTAGGTAGGGGTAGGTAGGTAAGGAGGGGTAGGTAGATACATGATAAACAGAAAAATGGTAAAAACTAATTTGACTAAAAAACAAACAAAATTGGCGGGAAACCTAAAAATTGGGTCCAAACTTTACGTTGTATATTGTCTGGAAACACACATGCCGGGAGCATTGACTTAATTGTGTGTGTGTGTGTGTGGAAGAGGGAGAGGGACACAGAAAGAGGGAGAAGAACGATAGAAGAAAGAGAGAGAGGGGGAGAGAAAAAGATTTATAGATAAAGACGGAGACAAAGAAAGGAACAGAGAAAAAAAAAGAGAGAGAGAGAGAGAGAGAGAGCGTTACAAAGGTCGTATAATTAAAGATATGTGGAAAAAATTGAGAAGGGGGTTACCACGTAGCCTGAGGGAGAGCAATGGTGGAGAGAGTGTGGGAGAGAGGGAGGCGGGGTGGGAGGGAGGGAGGAGAGTGTGGGGAAAAGTGAGAGAGGGATGGAGGAGAGGGGGAGAATGTGGGAGGAGGGGAGGGAGAGAATGTGGGAGGAGGGAGGAGAATGTGGGAAGGAGGTAGAGAGTGGGAAAGAGGGGAGGAGGAGGGAAGGCAAGAGTAAAAGGAGAAAGGATGAAAGGAAGGAGAGAGAGAGAGAGAGAGAAAATGCCACCTGTAGTGATAAAGTTACACCCCATTTTCTATCAAATTTCACTCCTCATATTACTAGCATTACACACCACTTTTACCACAGTTACCCCATCATGGTCGGTAAAGAAAACGGATACTGGGTATTACAACTAAACTTAGTGTTGTTGTTGTGTCTGTTGCTGTTGT